ACGCATAGGGGGTGGTATTTCAGGACCGTGGCACGCGCTAAAACGCCTAAGCTCTTGCTGTAGGTTGTTTCACTTTGCAGTACTACTGTAGGTGAGTCCTGTGTCTGCATTTGTACTGCCAAAAGAACCGATTTCTTCCGCCTTTGGTTGGTTAGATGTTGGCCTTGAAACCAACCGAATACCTCCACGGTTATGCTTCACAGCTGTCATACTTAGTGTGTTATGCCGTTGGCTCCGCTGTAAGGAGTTTATATCAGTCGGGTTCTTTATTTTTATGTGATACATTATACACTAACTCCACCTCTCAGATGACTTTGAATGTTGCGACATTTTACCTTAACTTCTCCGTAGATATAAAATAGGCGAGTCATTTTTCCACATCTCAACGGATGAGACCAATGCAAAAGTAGAGTCCGAGAAGCAAGCCCTTAAGGAAAGAATCGTGACACTGGAGTCCGAGCTCTCAACTTGCAGATCAACCATGGCCACTTTGAAAAAAGAGCTGTATGCAAAATTCGGTGATAATATAAACCTGGAGGATTATGCATTCACTTCTGTTTTATGGTTCGGGTGCGGTAGCTAAGAATGAAGTTAGATCATGTGTGTTGGGCGTTTCCCAAATTTCGACTGTTAACACGCTTTTAGTGCATCCTCATTGCTTGATGGTTCCAGTACGCAGAAGCGTCGTTCAGGTTTGTTGGTTGAAAAGGCTATCCTAAAAAGAAGATTCAATCGCTGGGGCGACACTGTTATTCGGTTAATGTTTCGACATCCCTCACGGATTCCTCCTCAGAAACATGAGCAGAAAACAGTAGCAGAAGTGGGTGATACATGCACACGAAGTTGTATTATTTATAGGACACAGTCACGTATGACTCACGTATGCTCACGTATGACAAATAGTGAAAATTGCCCTCTCGTGTGTGGATTGCTTAATGACCGGCATGCGGGCCGTGACCTTCTGAAATTTCATCATGCGTGGTGGAATTGGACGTGATTGTTGCTCGGCCATCTGGTTGACCGGCGTTAGCAGAAGACGGTACGGTGACCTGTGCGTTCCCCAAGTGGACACTGGCTTTGGCAAGGCTATCCTACATCAAATTTGAAGCGGTTTGTGGGGAGTAACCGGATGTGCGCAGTGGCACTGAATGCCTAGCCACGACATTTGTTCTCATTCAGTCTTGTGACTTTATAGTGAGTTGCATAGCTTAATGAACATGCATCGATAATCCTATTGGTTGGCGGTCAAAGTAAGCCGAGAGTTTACTGAAATATCCGCCCATCCGGGGGACTATGTAGCTTTGTTCCGTTGACAGGAAGACGCCGACGGTGCTGTGCACGACCGGTTCTCGAGACTGCCTGTTCTAGACTTCTCACTGGAACGCCATATGTATGCGAACGCAGCGTAAGCCGGCAGTCGCACATATCATCTTCGGTACCCCGAAGATAGTACTCGTCCGATTCTACTAATAGAGTACGAATTTCGTTTCGCTTACTGTCGCTTAGCAGACGTACGGTTGCATTACTGGTATGGTAGACTTCCTTTTATTTCTCGCGATTTGTGAAGCAGAAATTGCACTTAATTTCTCTACTTAAAAGGATGTTTCGGACAGAAGATTTGTCCGTGTCAGAAGTCAGGAAAATGGATTCATCCGTGCTGTTAAGTGGATATGCATGTAAAACGCAAAATCGGCGAATAGTATTGTTTCATTTGCATTTTATCGGGAAATTCGTTTAACAGGCTATGGTGCCGTATAAGTGGGTACGACAGCTTATCTGTCTGACGGTTATTTAAGAAAATTCGTTTTATTGACGTGAGATACCACGCGTGGCCCTGATATCGAAATTTGTGGCATTTTATCTTTTAGAAGGAAAAAGCGGAAGACGGAATGTCTCGAAAAAAATGTACTTCGAATATCGATGATAAATATACTGGAGAAGAGATGGGCTCTGGGGTTGTTGTGATTTGTAATCCTCAGCTTGAAAGG